AGAAGTAACGAGGCAATCAGATGGAAGCACAAGGCAGTGTCCCAGAGGAGCTGTGATCCGGGTAAAGCTGTGGCATCCAGTTATTACCGACTCTACATTTTCCTCATCTCCTAATGGGAAAAGAACAAAAAGTTACAAATGCATTGCTATAATTAAATTTTCATCCACAAATTAATTCCAAGAGGTGAATGATGAGCTCTGTCTCAATAATGTCTCAGAGGCATCTGGAGCAGTGCCTGCACTTAGTAGTAAAGCTTTTTCAATAAGAGCTCTGCTCTGTGGCACTGAGTCACTCCTAGTAGCAGAAGTTCACTTGCAATATCACATATCACCATCAGTGACTCTCACATGTTCCAGGCTTTGAAGGCACGGCACTGATGGAGAAGCTGTGTTTGAAATGGTGCTCAAATGCTGGGGTTACAAACACTCACAGGTTCAGAGCCATTTCTAAATGATCAGAGGATAAGTCTGATGCTGTTACTCTGATTATCTCCAGGACTTTTCTCCTTTGCAAGAACTCTACCACAACTACAATGAGTTGTGCCCAGCAAGTCACTTTTCTAAGAAAAAAAAGGCACAAAACAATAAAAAAGACCAACTAGTGTCCCTCTTCTATAAGGACAGGCTGAGAGAGTTGGGGCTGTTCAGGCCAGAGTAGAAAAAGTTCTGGGGAGGCATTCCAGCACATAGGGGGCTAAAAGAGATGGACTTTTCACAAGGGCTGGAATGACAGGACAAAGGGGGATGGATTCAAACTGATGCAGTGCTGATTTAGACTAGAAAACAGGAAGAACCTTTACTGTGAAGGAGGTGAAGCACTGGGACAGGTTACCCAGATAAAATGTGGATGTCCCATCCCTAGCAGTGCTCAAGGCCAGGCTGGATGGGGCTTTGAGCAGCCTGGTCTAGTGAAAGCTCTCCCTGCCCATAGCAGGGCAGGTGTAAAAAGATGGTCTCTAATGCCTGTTCTAGCCCAAAAACATTCTGTGATTTGAAGTCCAGGCAGGAAATTAATTTACAGCCCACAAATACTATCAAGCTATTTTTAATATCTGCTGAATTCCTAAAACAGATCCACAGCACAAGTGGTTAAGATATACCTGTCATCCACTTGCAGCAGCTAAAAAGAGATCTTACAAGATGTTTGGTGAAGCAGACAGCAAACTGGGATCCTTTAGAGGGTAAATCACTGTAAATTATTTCATTTGAGCTTGGGACAGAGCTGGTGATTTAACATGGCTGTAGAGCACAGGTAGAGCTATTTAAACCCTTTAGTTGAATCACGGAGCTTTTCTACTCACCTGGTGATGTTTCCATAATACATAAAGCAAATATTTAAAACCAAAGGCAAGAGTCCTTCTGCCATGTAAAAAAAGATTTAGTCTCTTTATCAGGGGTAGATGTCACAGTGCAGGGAGTGGCCAGACCACATTTGTGTCTTTGCACACATGGATGGAAATGGTTTCATTTCCTTGAGCAGCAGTTTACTCAGGATAAACTGAGTTGATATGTCGATACGTCAGGTAAAAACCTGTAACAACAACCATGTTCAGAAATGATTACAGCAGGCTTTGTGGCCAGGACACCTTCAGGATTGCTTTGACCTTGTGACAGGAATTATGAAGACTGTAATTATCAATGGCATGGCCACAATAGATTGTTAAAGCTTAAAAAAATTCGTGACTTCCCTTGTACGCTGGATAAATGCCTTAAGTAGAGCAAGACTTATTTTGGAACAAAGCCATCCACACAAGGACTTGCATCTGCACAAGTTACATGACTGTAATTCCACTCAAATATCCCACAAAGATGAGCCCTTTGTAAACCTTTCCCCTCAAGGAATCCTTTTCTGATCAGCTTTTCCTGCACCTTCTAGTCTTGCCACAGCAGCAGCTCTGCTCCTGTCGGTGTGTGAAGCACACCTGAGTGGTCCATCAGAGCAGTGACACACAGGCACTGCTGGCTTGGCTCACACCTGAGCAGAGGAATCACTGAGCAACTCAAATCACATCAGAGGGATCACTGGATAATTTCTGGAGCCTGTGTAAGCCCTGGGTGGGTCACTCATCACTGGGTGCCCTTCTGTTAGTGATTGACTCAAAAAACAAAGCAGGGAGGGATGCTCGTAGCCAGGCTTTATTCCACTCACCTATTCCAACATGTATTTGACAGGCACTCAATGCTACAAGGCACCCACAGAGAAAAACAACAGCCATGCCAACCTGTTGATATTCTAAACAGCCAGATACATCTCCTGGTAAAGTAAAAACTGCAAGCGTGCTGTCAGACTTTAGCCCCCTGAGCTCCTCTTTTCTCTAGCCGGCAATGGTAAGAGGGATGGAGGAAGTACTCCAGAAGACAGCCCACATTCCCAAAAACATTCTCCAAACCCAGGTTTCACTGAAGTGCTGCATGTACCTTGACACAGACCAAGGACAAACAGTAGCATATACAGAATGGAAAAAGCAGACAAGCCTTCATAACATCTCCTGCACAATTTCATCCTTCAGAGGCACATTTATTCACACAATTCACTGCCACAGCTGAAACGCTGCTCTAAAAAAATTTGGCCCTCATTGTTTGTTTGATGGACTGCCTTTTCAATTATTTTTCTTGCCTTTAGCATCCATCTTAATACTCTAACAGCTGCTTAAATGGTAAAAAAAATGTGATCTTCTGTAGAGCTGCTTGGAAAGTGCTTGATTTTTCCTGGGCAAAACATCAATGGAAATACATAATAGTTTTCATCTCAATTTTTCAAAGGAAAAATTTCAATTTTTTGGCTGAAACTCAAATACCAAAATATTTCAACCAAAACCCAAAATGTTTCCATTAGGAAATGCTACTGCATGGTGTCCTGGGAGATGGAATTTCAGATCTCATGCTCTCATTTCCCTTTATGCCCCATGATACAGCTGATTTCCCTTTTTCCAGATGAAAGCTGCTGCATCACTGAAGTTGTATTCCCTAATTCCTGGTGGGAGACACACTAGAGAAATGAACGGGGATCTGGGGCTGAAGAATACCAGCAAATTCCCACACTACCCTTTCAGATTATACAGATGGAAACATTCTGGTTTTCAAGAAAGGTTTCAAGAAAAAGGTTTCCCTGGAAAGCAAGCCTTTTCCAAGGTAAACTTAATTGAAAACCTGTGATTTCTGTCAACAGGCAGTTTCAGGACAGCTATTTTGTTTCAGCTGGTTGAACAGATCCTGCTGTTGAACATTATTCCAGATTCCCATACAGCCTGAGTGCAGTTAGCTATAGCAGCCAGACTTCCAAAGGTTTCTAGATGACCTAGGCATTCAATTTCGGGGGGGTTTTGAAATGAACACCCCAATCCTGCAGGCTTTGACAACAATCTGGGTTGGTAAGAAGCATCTCACAAGGCACTGAGTGAGATGAGCCTTTGAGAATTAGTGACTAAATGGGTTTTTGAGTTAAGGAAACACCAGCCTGGCTTTACTTTGTGGCACACAAATTTGCCAGCAGAACTCAGAGCATTCCAGGGCTGCTTTTGGATGTTAAGGATAAATTTACGTCTTTGATGAGACTCTTGCTTCTTCACACCACTGCCTGGCAAGCTCCAAGAGATATGATCCCTTGAGAAGGAAGGAGAACAAGCATTTATGGAGCAGCAGGGAAACCAGACAACGTAACCTTGGGTTATCCAAGGGCTGCAAGGCACTCGGAGGGAAATGCCCTCTGCAAGTCACTAATTTTAGTGTGACAAAACCACTCCCTAGACTCTAAGTGAAGCCCAACTTTGCTCCCTTCCTAGGGACAGAGAGGGGAGAGGGCTGACAGACACCTTGCTGAACTCACATTTGGGATGGATTTGAGCATCTCTCCTTGAAGTCCTGTCTACCACTGAGACCTTTTGTCCACAGGCTCAGCTGCTTTTCCTTCAAGTTGCCACATCATGGGGCTTTCTCTACTTTGCCTCTCCAACCAAAAGGCCTTGTTATGGTTCTAGGCCTTACCAAGTGATGCAGAACAAAATCTCTTCCCGAATCTGCTAATCAAATCAGTTTGACCAGCCAGTCCTCTGCAAAAAGAGGATTTTAAGGACCACGTCCAAGCACTGGCCTACCTCCAGTGTCATGTCTCCAGCTGGGAAAAATCTGGTGCCTCAGAGGAAAGCAAACAATAAATCCTTCCCAAGTCCTGCAGGCTGAAACCCTGAAACATGAGATTTGGTTACAGCATTCCATTTAAAAAGAGTTAGGAACACACTGAAACCAGTACGGGCCTTCCTGCTCTCCCCAAGAAGGGAATGGATACCACCACATCCCAAAGAGTTTTTCTTTGTAGCCAGATTACAGTTCCAGCATTCTTCACCCAGACACGTTGAGTTTGTTTTTGTTGCATGATATTTGGGGTAATTTTGGGTGCTGGGCAAGGGAGATGGGTGGGATCTCATCTGCTGGATCCTCCAGAAAGACATATCTGCACTGCTACTTCAGAGCAGTCTCAGTCACGTCTCTCTGAGACCTTGGCTTTTAAGCACCTTGGAGATTTTTTTCTCTTCAAGAAACTGAATCAAGTCCTCAATCTCACTCTGAGGACCTGAAGTGCTGATAAAACAATTTTTAAATTTTTTTTTTTTCCTTTTTAAAATTTATTCCAGGGCTGAATTATATTACTGTTATGAAATTTCACCTTCACCCGAGGCTGAAGCTGTCTAAATTTGAGCAGCCATTAGATCTAATTCTAAATATCAACAAACCAGACTCTCTTGCAAGTCTTGGTGCAGCACAGAAAGACAAAAGCACTGCTGGTATAAACCCTTATGTATATCCAGAGGTCACACCTGTCACAGAACTGCACTGAGAGCAGAGGTTGGAAGCTTCATAAAGTTTGTATGTTCACTACAGTGCTAATTAGCTGACATAGCTGACACTTTCAACTAGAACAGGTAAAGAAATACCTCAGCATTATTTTCACAGCACACACTGTTCCCGCTTCCAGCAGTCAATTTCAACAAACCTTAGATTATTTATTGAAAATGAATACTTGAATTTCCATCCAGACTGATTTAGGGTTGAGCAGGGCTGGCACAACGCGGGTAAGGACAAGGAAAGGAACCGAGTCCAGACAATGCTGCAACACCGCCCACAGCCAGAATATGCACCAGCCAGTGATAACCTCACTGACTGTTCCAATTACCATATCCTTTGGAATAGCTTCTCTATTTCTGCCTGTTACCCATATTACTCCTCTACTTCTGATATTTCTTCCTCTAATAGAGCAATAAACATTTTTGTAACTCACTACCAAAGTAGTTCCTTATGTACCAGTTTAGAGACTGTGGCAAACACCCAGGAGGAGCATGTACATATCCAAATGATATTAATGAACAATCTAGAAATTAAATTCATGTGCTGATATAATTTGTGGTAGGATTCTGCAGTTTATTGGTGGCTTTAGCCTCGGTTATCTTTTGCATCTGCAGTTGCCCAGCTGTGCTTCCTTGATCATCTCTCCCAGAGGACTTCCTGAAGTACAGTCTGGTCCAATATTGCCTTAAAAGCAAGAAGATATCCTATTAACCACTCCAGCTAGGCTTCTGGAGAACCAGTCAGGACAGCCTTGAGCCAGGAATACAAGATTTTGCATGGATTTCCCTTACAGAGAGCAGAGTTCCAAAGCTCTGCAGAGTTTGGGGACTAAACCTCTTGACCCCTGCTCCTACCAGGGAAAAGACTCTCAACCCAAGTTGCACACAGTGAAAGTTCTCGATGGCCATTCGAGGAGCAAGGCAAACCTTTGGTAACAACAACCACGTGTGTGCCCACAGGACCATGCACACGCAGAAACTCTGTGTGCATGCTCAAATACCTTGCTGAATCAGGGCCACAGTAAATGCATTCTTTTCATAGAAACATTTTTCCATGGACCCGATCCAAAGCCCACTGAGGTCAGCAAGAGTCTTTCACTTCAATAGGATTTGGATCAGACCCCGTGAGCATTTCCAACTAAAACCAGCACTGGAATTTGTGCATGCCCTTGCACTGAAACAATTTGAGTCTATTTTATTGTAAACCCTAAACTCAAATACTCCTCACCTCTGGGAAAGCTGGGAACACAAGCTGGATCTTTGCTTTCAAAGGTCAATTCAAAAAAGATTCCAACTCCAACAAGCATAAGCCTTCAGAACATTCATACCTGAATGAGGGGTTTAATTTAAAAAGAGCTCAAATATCTCTGAGGAGGAAAGATTCATCAGATCTTTCATACAGTACTGCAGGTTAAGTATAAAAATAATAATTAAAGACTAGCTGAAAAGGCATCTGCTGAGGAATGCAGTTTAGGGTCTTCCTACAAAGATAAGGATTCTATTTCCTAATAGCTATATAAATCCATAGAGACTTATCTACAATTTCACTGATAGATCATCACTGGAAAAAAGAGAGAAATCATAAAAGCATTCCACCTGTATTGCTGGCAGATGGCTTATAAATGTCACACAGACTTAGCCCTACTACTGGCTCATACAAGAGGTATTAAATAAAGTGCTGAACATCTGCTGGTAAATACACAGCAAACAAGAATGCAACTCAGAGCCAAACATCTGGCGAGTGTGGGCCACATCTCTGCTCATAAACTAAGCAATGTTTTCTGCTAATCATTAACAGAGTTATTGATTTTAGAAGTGTATCACACAGCTATAATTTTGTCAGAGAGTAGACCACATAAGTTGTTCTTTTTCTGGTTGTTTCATTTTGTCTTATTCCAAAAGTCCGTAAATTGACGAGCGGGACAAAAATTATAATTGACATCATCTGTGGGAAATATTTCATAAAACAACAGGCCCAGATGTAGGATTAAAGCCATGTGGTAGTAAAATACCACACTGAAAAAAGTCCAGGTTCCATGATTTCTTATGAAAACAGATGTGCTATTACTCCACTCTACTTGTTTTTCAGTGCTTTTTACTCCAAATAATTCTCTTTTTTCCCCTCTTCTTTTTTTTTTCTTTTTTTTTTCCACAATTGCACTAGGGAGAGATCATAAATTGATTGCAGATGGCAACTTGTACTTCAAAATCCTAACTGTCACAATCTTTGAAATAAAAATAAATGAAACATTTTGTGAAATTATATTGAGCCATGTTAAAAGTAATGAAGATTATACAAACATATGTCTTTTTGTCATTTATACAGCACCTTCAGGCATGACAACCAGATCTATTAGACAATACTTCTCTCCCTGGGAAGCAGTTATTTTCCAAGTGCAGGATGTACTGAAATATAGAAGGTAACCTATAGCCTGAGCACTCTTTTATCCAAGCCTCAAGATGGTTGGAACCTCCTGTAACACAGAGCCAGGAATGCACATCCTCAATTCCCTCACATACAAAGAGGCAACATGGAAACAAGAGAGGATTGTTCCATGCATCCTGCTCTGTACATCATTTCATACGAGTACATTCCTGACAAACACATTGTATAAGGGATCTGTGAAAGACAGAGGCTTGTATGGTTTGAATCCTAATTTGTCAGTGCTGTGCAGAATGGCAAACAACTGTATTTCTTCCTAAATGACTTACTAACATGTGGAGCCCATTATGATGCCGCTAATTACAATTCATTAAGTTCTGAATTTATGCAGTTTCACAATGGAGTCAGAGATTCTCCATTTTCCAGTTATCAGAGATTTTGCAAGACATAATAAAATAAAGGTCTAAGTAGACTCCCACCCTGTCACTGTCATGTCTTCATGCAAAAGCCATTTTCGATAGAAGTGATGGGCTTTGATGCCGATTGCAAAGGGATTAATTGAGGTGTCTAGTGCTAGGACTCCCAAATAAAGAAAGGGGAGGAAAGACACAGATGCTCATTTGGGAAAGGAGAATGTTCATGTCCCAGTATACTTTGGGGGCAGCTGTGAAGGAAAGGGGAGCATTGCTCAGTTAAAGGGCAGCCCTTTTCTTGACTTACAAAAAGGAAGATTAAATCAATAGCAGCAGGTAAAGAGCCAGAATCAAAGATTTTTGGAGGCCACAAAAACCATTTAGAAACACCCCTAAATGAGAACAGGAGCAATACCAATGGCCACAAAAAGTTGGGGGAGCAGTCTGAGAAACAACACTATTTCTTCTATTAAATCTTTATATCCAAGGGTGTTAACAGGAATGCCCCCTTTATTTTGTCTCCCAGGCAAACCGTGCAGAGATGTGCAACCTTTGCCATCTGGCTCTGGAAACTCCACACCCTTGCTGTGAAATCTTTGCTCACAATGCAGCTCTAGAGGCATCCCTCATTCAGAGGCAGCAAAACTTGGGCAACCCTTCCCACACCAATCCAGAATCCTTCTGCCAGAAACGCCAGGAGTAGCAAGACTTGGTTCAAGATATGGAATGTACACTTGTATCTAATATGATACACGAGAGTTTCCAGAGACTGAAGCGGTGGATGAGGGAGAAGGGGTGGGATTGAGCTCCTGCTCAGTTGGCTGGGATAAAGGCTTTCGAGTAACAAGTGGAAGGCTTGGAGGAAGTTCAAATCAGGGTCATTTGCTTTTTGTAACAGATGAATCTGGAATCCCATGAAGCCTGGTACTACGGAGCATGGAAGTTCACAGCTCCAGTAAAGCCCCTGTGGAGGGACAGCAGTTTAGCACTCAATCCTCCTCCCCAAAGAGACACAGTTTGAACCCTCTGTCAAGAAACTCCATTTCTCACACTGTCTGGTATTTTGGCCTGTAGGATCAAGTTGTGGGAAGATTTCAGGCAAAAGAACAAAACTAGGAGCTCAAGGAGAAAGGTTGCAAGGGTTTTGCAGGCCAGGTAAGCACAAGGCCTGCAGCGAGAGCTTTGTTTGCGCAAATATTTACATGGGCATCTCTCTGTGCTCTCTGTGACTCCATCCACCCTCTCCCTCACCTCCCAGCTTACTGGGGAATGACACTGTGGATTGCAAGGAGCATCACTGCACATATATAAGATAAGAAAAGGATTGCTTTGAATGCTCCTGAACACTGTTTTAACCCATCATGACCTGTATGTTCTGCCTTATGCCATATCCCCCTCCCACTCTTCTCCCGGGAGACTTTGTTTTACTAAACTCACTGTAAAAATGACCTTGACCAGAATATTTACTGGTTTTATGAAGTTTTGGGGTCAGCAATGAATACTGAATACATTATTACTACTTTTCCTCTCTATAGTTTGTGGTTCAAAACAGACAACCCATTCTTTCTCAATTTGCAATTATTTCAAACTGAGGTTGGCATCTACCATCAACATTTAGAAGACATCTTCTCATTTGGACCCTATTTTCCAATTAAACAAAAAGGTCACTGACAAAACACACATTTAATGCAATGCAGTGCCCAGATTAAACAAAATAAAGGAAGCATCTTTCTGAATATGTTTTTTTAATCCAAGTTCTCCTTGAGGCTGGGACCTGCCATGCTTAACTTTCAGCAGTTTCCAAGTCTGCAGAAACACTGAAATAGTATTTCTCTTACCTAATTATCATAAATCTCCCCTCTCCAATAAGACATAAATAAGTCTCATAAAATCTTCACCAGGGACATGATATTTTGAAAACCAGAATGTGACAGAGTTTGTTTGGCAGGGTTTTGGGGGACTTTTTTTTTCAATATGGTTTGGGCATTGTACTCTTAAGTAGTTGTTATTTGGTCAGTGATATCACCTTGGTACCACCTGAAAAGCTGCATATCCTGGCCAGTTGGCTGCATCCACCACAGCAGCCCAAGAAAATAAATCAGAGTAGATCAGAGACTATGAAACCAGACATGATTCAGGAGGCGAGGAAAAGAATAGAAAGAAAATTATCCATATGAACACAAAGCAGAGCAGAGGAAAAGCCTAAATTAAGATCTTGATCAGCTGACTCCTGGCCCAGTTTTCTATGAGACAACTCCAAAAACTATCTCATGTTTTCCCATAATGGCTCAGGAGGCTGAAAATATTGCCCAAAAGAAGGTCTCATAGTGCTGCACACTGAGTCAGACACAAACCAGAGGAATGTCACATTTATTGATTTAGCTGGAATATTCAGGGATTTGAAGGCTGTATTGACCTTTTTTATGGCAGGAGTTTTATCCTTTCAAAACTTGCTGCTGTTCCTGAAAGAGCCAGCAACTTTTCTCATCCTTCCAGTCTTACACTCACTAAGTGGAAAAAGAAAGGATGTGTTTTAGAGAGACTGAAAAGGTCAGAGAAACAGAAGAACAGTAAAAATGGATGAAAGTAGAAGTTTGTTCCTAAATCAAGATGTGACCTTCACTTGAAAAAGGCTGCATTTTTCAAGATTCTGTTCATTCTTGGGGGTTTCCCTGTAGCATATAAAAAGCCTAGAAATATATTAAATTTTCAAAGAAAACTTTTCTGAGCTCACACTGGATGGGCAAACGTAGTCAATGCTGCTCCTGAGCCCACAGTCCAAGGCCTTGCCTCAGCTGCTATCTCGCTCCACAGCTTGCAGCAAGAAGGGAGTGAGAAGAGGGAACCCGCCCAGTACTGCAATCAAGATTCTGTTTCATCATCACTAAGCCTGCTGGTATTCTTGCCAGAAGCCAAAACCACCCCACTGAGCTGCCTGAAAAAGGGGTGGTCGGTGCTAGAAGAGGATTTCAAACATTTGAGATGGATGAAAGGAAGCCCACGGCCATTAGCGCTGTTGGAGACACAATTGTTATTATTAACACCATCTGCAACATGGACATTTTGGTCTTTGATGAAGGAAGGATGGAGCTGGAGACCACCAGCAGCAGCCTGGAGTGGGTGGAGTGGGGAGGAAACATACCACAGTAGCAGCAGCCACAGAATTTGGGATCAATAGTGAGGAGGATGGATCTGAGCAGGATGCTGTTCGCTGAGCAGCCATACGTGCTCGTGGGCATTGGAAGCTCTACGCACACTTTACTAGGAACAAGGGGATACAACAATTCTCTGAGATCTATTTCTGCTCTGAATTAAGTCCAGCCATTGTAACAAATCATGCAGAGATTTGTGTCTATCAGCAGCTGGTCAGAAGTCTCAACAGCAATCAGCAAGAGAAAGTGACATTAGCAGAGTCTGCAGCGAGACAAGGCTCTAGCACCAAAAACTACTTTTGATTCTACTTAAACATCCTGGGAGTAACTGAGGAAGGCAGAAAACCAAACCGAGACACAGCATGGCACATACAATTCACACCAAGGTTAGGCTGCACACAAAGGAGCACACAAGAACCATGGCTCATGTTCCAGGCCTCGGGAGCTCTCTTTTGCCCCTGACCTGCAAACAGAAACATGCATTTGCCCAAAGTACAGCAGCCAGTGGTGGCAGGACAGGCAGCACAATCATCAAAACCAGCAGTGCTGCCAAATGCTCCCATCCCCTCCCCTTTTCCAATGCTAGCATTAACTGCATTACCTCTGGAAAAGGGCTAATTATGGCTGACCCCACCTTTTCCATCCTGACACCGGCCTCAGCAACACCCACAAGATGATGGGACTGAGATATCAACCACAGCTCCCCACAAGTTGCATTTCAAGCCACTGCAAATATCAGCCCTTAAAACCTGTGGGAAGGCACGTGACCTGCCTGACAGGGCAGCTGATAACACTTACTGTTAGCGTACTGGTGGATGTTTTCCTGCCAGATTCCAGCCTGGAGAGGCCTTCTCAGTCTCCAGTAAAAGAGCAGGATCTAGGAAAATTTACAGCAAGACCAAAGTGAACTGGGTGCTATAGATGCTGAAGGACTTCATCAGTGTGTTTTCTTCAGAACCAGCTGCTGAGGGAAGGAAAAAGACCTGCTTGTTATAGGCTGGAGGGTAGCAGAGAACTTATTTATATTTAACATCTCTTTATCAGTCACTATCATGAGATCTTTCTGCACCTTTGTAAGCTGACAGCTTCACTTGCAGATCTTGGTATCAGAGGTGAGTTACCTCACCTTGCTATTAATTTTTTTTAGATCATGGATGATAGGCTGGACTGCAAAAGTCTTGGAAAAAGACCTTCACTGGGCCATCATGACCTCCCCAAAATATAAACAAGACCCCCATATACTAGGTGGCCAGTCCTTCTGGGCCTTCCATGTCAAAATCCAGGGCTAAAAATGACCATGTAGCAAAGAAAAATCAGGAAATATAATTTCTTACATATGAGGGGGAAAAAAATGCATAATGTCTAAGCTTTGACATAGAACAAAACTTGTCGTTGGCAGGGGACCCATGTCATTTGTCAAAGGAGTAATTTGTGTTCTTGTGTAACAACAGATGCTAATGGGAAGCACACTCATTGCTCCAGCCCCGCTGGCCACCAGCGGTGCATTTCCATAAAACCTCCAGCACCTGAGTCCTGCCCAGAGCCAAATCACCTGGGCTGAGCCCTCACTGTCCCCTCACCCCACTAAATGTCCTTCCTCACATATGGACCCAAGGTCAACACTTCTCACTTTATTGCCTGGCAAATTAAATCCAGTTAAGTGACAGGGTCCTCGAGGCTGTTTCTAGGCTCATTTCTTTCATTAGCTTTTAAGAAATACAAAAGCCTGTGAAGCCATGCACTGGATGTCCTGCCAAGAGTCCCTTGGTTTTGAGAGCCTCGGGCCCCTCACAGAGGAAAATTCCCATCAGTCTCATTGCCCGCTGAATCTAACAAGACACTTCATGATTTAAATATCACCAGCAAAGTTTAATCAAATCTAGTTCACATTTTCCTGATCCAGAAAGAAGCAGGGAGACATGCAAAGTGTAGTTTCCTGGCTGTAACTTGAAGAAATAATTTTTCACCCGTTTCACCTGATGCACAGCCAGCCTTGAGCAAGGGTGCAGCAGCTCAGTTGTCTAAATTCTCAGGAAAGCAGCCAGGGGTTTTCTCAAGTTCACTTCTCCCCATCACCAACTGTTCAGCAGCTCTGAGCCTATCAGCAGTAGCTACATGGGATCTGCTGACCTCCTGCACATTCCTGTTCAGGCAGCAGCTTTTATTTCACCACTAACAGGAAGAGATCAGGCAACAGAAATGCTTTCTCACTGGTAATATCCCATATCCTCTCTAAAGTTCATCAATTCCACTAATTTCATTTCCTAGCAGAGCATTGTACAATTTAACATTTCACAGGGTCAAAGCTTGGCAGCCTAACTCCATCTCAAAAACATTTTAAGTGAGCTTTAGCCAGGTACTGAGGATTACATACTTCACATGGAGATTCAAGCATTCCACAGGATGGGTAAGGTTAAAAGGGACCACAGTGGGTCTTTGAACCTCCCTGTGTGCAGGATCATCAAAACCAGTGGCAAAACAAGTAGGTCAATATTAGAAAACAGTAGTAAGAAGCAAAAAGATATTTAATTCTGGTCTTATTTTTTTGAGAGAGAGATTTTCCGTACAAACAATTACAGGAGATAAAAGCTTCTTGGAAAAAAAAAAGCTGCTAAGAGTAGAATAGTGACATTTCAAGATTTTTTTGCACACCAGCTATGCCAAAGCAAATCATCTTGGAAATACAGCACAGGCATTTGCTGTTCTATGAACATCATCTCAAGCATGAGACTTTGTTCCAATGATTCCAATGCCCTTGCAGATCACATTTTTTTTTTTCTGTGAAACATGTGGCACTAAAGGGTTTGCCTGTGCAAGGTGCCTCTTTTTAGTCCCTCTATTCCATTTAAAACCAGGTCTAGCAATGCACAGCAGATCAGAGAAGTATTATTTGCAGAAAGAAGAATTATTTTCTTTCTTTTCCCAATTTCAAAACTTGCAGTTATGCACTCCAGTCAGCAGACTAATAACAACATAAACATATACTTCTGGTTAACCAGCTGAGAACATTCCTGAGCAGATTTTGATTAGCATTTTACATCCCTTTCTCTTCAGTACATGTCTGTTTACCAATGATAAGTTCTTTATACATTTTTTATTTGCTGGCAAGCATTAGAATCCTTTTACTTTGGTCTTCCCACCTATGTTAAGATCTACAAGACAAAATATCAGAAGCTCTCATTAAGTGTAGATCTAGACCACCTATAAAGCCAAGAAAAAGCACAAAAAGCTGAAGAATTGTCCAGTGCTGGCCCACTGTAACTCTGTATTTGTATCAGGATCCTGTCAGTGTAATATTCCCACTCCTGGAACGCAGCTCATGGGATGCCTTCAGTGCCTGCAAAAAGTATCAGTCTTATGTATTATTTGCAGTTTCTATGGACCATTGAAAGTTTGAACAGGCAGCTGGAGAAGCCTCTGGAGATGTTTCTTCTGTAGAGTTCTTTCTTTTTCTAAAATGGTCAATTTGCTTACTTATTATCCATCTGAAAAGTCACAATAATTTCATCAATTTAATCAGGATAATTTCAAAACCAAAAGAGCTTACTCTTGCATGATACTATACACAAACTCACATTTCCAAATCTGCCTATAGCTTTGGTTCAAAGTATTAAAAAACTGCAGGATATAAATCAACATCACACATAAAATTCAGCAAGAGATTCATTGAGTAATTATCGCAACAACAATTAGTACAGACAAACTTTGTGCTGTGGAAACTACAAGAGGCACTGTCAGCTTTTCACCTGCTGGCCACTCTCTCCACACAGACAAAGGAGAGAATGGACTTGGAATAACATCCAGGGTGACATGGAGGACTATAAATGGATTCTTTTCCTCAGAAGAATTACATGGCAACAATCCTTTAATGTCTTTAGAGCTGCTTGCCCCAAATCCTAAAGCAGCAAGGTCCATCTGCCCTCCAGTGTTCAAGCACAGCTTTGCTAAAACAGCAGCACCATCCCCAGACTGACAGATGCTGCTTGACTGAAAGGATGATTCCTTAAAGGATGCATTCAGCTGGAGGATCATGTCTTTACATACTAGGGTGCAAAACGTACAGCTCTCTCTCCCTTCTGAGGTGTCTAGAGTCATTTCTAAGCATTCCCTTTTTGTGATGGATTGTTTTGCAATGATTTTTTTATTCCATTTGGGACAGGAAGGTTTGGTGGTTTTCCTTTTCTGTTTAAAAGCAAAAACCTACGGTTGGTTACTTATTTTTGTTACCTGCTTGCCAGAGTTAACTCTCTACAGTTTCTTGTCTTGAGTTAAACAACTCTGCACACACCTTGGTAATAGCCACTATGTTAAATACATTACAACAGTTTTCAACTGTCAGTTCCCTACTGTAAATTTCTTTTACCCAGTTTAAAAGCTTTTGGAAGAGAGCAACACTGAAGCACAGATGGCATCATTAGAGGTAAACATTGGCCAGGATACAGTACAAATACCATACTGTGGCATCTGCTCTAAATTTAGTGTACACCACAGTCAAGTCAATAGCATAGGTTGATATTGGTTTACCTTTTAATGAGATCCACAATATGAGTAAAAAGTGGCAGAACAACATGTGAGACCCTTAGTTTGTGAGTAAGGTTTCGCTTCTTGAATGTTAACTCTCTGGCCCAAGCTCAAAATTAACTTTTAGGCACAGTCTGGATGCACAGTTTTCCAGATCCCAGTAATGCCAAGCCAAAAGGGAGGCAGGATTAGTCAATTTATTAAGCTGGTGACAGCTCCTCTGCACACTGATCTGCACTAGCAGTGGCTCTGAGTAGCCCTTAGCTTCTCTCCAGAGGAATAACAAGCCAGCATTTAATGTCTACATCCTCCTGAGTCCCGAGGTTTGATAACTGTGGAAGCAGCAAAAAGCAAAACAGTGCCTTAAAACAATCCTACATATAGGCTAATGATAAGAATTTTAAGCACAGAAGTGATTTAGGAATGCTACTGCTGGGGGATTGGGGAGAAATAAATCACTAAATCTTATGTTTCTAATGTATTCGTGAAATACAACCCATCCTTGAGTCCTGCCTCTGTGAATACCTCAGGGTGCATTGCAGACCTCAGCAGTTTTTGAAAGAAGCCTTTTGCCTTCTTTGCTGGTAAAGATACAATTTTCAGAGCACCATGGAGAACCAGACATTCCAATTCCCAAGATAATCCCAGCAGGAACTGCCTGTCCCATTGTTTTATGCAGATTTGAACCTGTCTCCCCAGGTGCTACATGGGCACACCAGAAGGGCCAACAGGCCAGTGGTACCTGCTTTAGCTTGCCCACAAAGCCAAAAGAGAAGTCCAGGAGATGTCTGTGATCCCTACACTGATGATGCCTTTCCCTGCTGATAGGATGGCCTCCAGAAACACAGATCCTCTCCTTCCATGCACTAGGGCTCATCTTCTCAGTGCAAACATTTCATGATTTATGAGGGCAGAGGTAGAAAGCAAACCTTTTCTGTTTGTGTACACAACTAACCATCAGTTTGACTTCTGGCCATGTACAAAGTTTTGCTGCTTTACTGCCCTCCATCAACACAAAACAAAACGTCTACAGAGAAATTGCTATTCATAGCAAAACAGGAGTTGCCACCTAAGACCTTCTGTTGGATTAAACAGCCAGTCCATTATTTTCCTCATCATAGCTATTCCTTGTGCGTTTCAACTGCTCTGTTAGACGGCTCTTCAGGGATTAAGGAGTAATGTTTCATTTTTCAGTGATCCTTAACAAAATACAGCAAAAGTATCTACAATATAACAGAAGGGGTGCTGTCATTGTTCCAAGCATATTATATTTTAGACTAGCTGAATAACCTTTTGGGAGCCAGAATGCTGATTCACACGTAAAATGTTACATTCTCTTATCCATTAAGCCACATTTATGCAGAAATGCATTCCCTGTTTTGGACCGGGGTTTGCTCATCTGTAAAGAAAGAGACTTTATTCTCAACTGGGGGGTAAGATGAG